CAAAGAAAAGATGCTTCAGGCTTTCCAGGAAACAGTATATGCACATACATTATTCAAACAGGTTTACAAATAAACTCAAACTATATGAGATATCTGCTTAATTACATTAAGATATATCATATATCTGTTCCTGTTTTGAAAGAAAATGTTTCAGACTTACCATCTTAGAGTAAGTGGACTGTCTAAAAATCATTCGACACATTTTGCTTAGAAAATCTGTCAGATTTTCAAGTCACCCAAATAGCTACGTACGGCTGAGATGAGAACGGGCGTTAATCACGTGAAGCCATAAGTTGATGGAACAAATATAGTAGTATTCAAACAAATTTACAAAGAAACTTAAATTATAAGTATCTGCTATTGTTACATCAACAGATACAGAACCATGACCTTCTTTAACTCACTTCAGAGCTAGAGGCATGCATGCTTCTAAAGAAATGATAGACTTTTATCTAGACTTGACCATGCAATTATGCATTCTTACAACACCCAATCAAATCACAACAAAATTACAAAACGCTAAAAAAAAAAGTAAGAACCATACTTGAACAGAGACCAGAACCATGGCGCTCTCGTTCTCTTAGCGACAATCTCATCTTTTTTTTTCCAGACCGTCCACAGTAATGCTTCAGTGCGAAAAGTAGGTGACGAACAGCGCCGCGAACATGAGCAGGTAGGCGATCGCCTGATCAATGGCCTTGGCGTCGATCACCCTCGCCGGAGCCGCCGCCGGCGCCGGCGCCGTCTGCGTCGCCGTGGACAGCTGCATGAGGCCGGAGAGGAAGAAGGCGGTGAACAGCAGCAGGTACACCTTCAGGGTGGCCATCTTATAACCTGTAATTACTGCAAAATCGATCTAACTGAAAGCCTGATGAAACTGTCTTAATTCAGTTCTTGAGATCTTGGAAGTAGAGATGAGTCTGGACTCTGGATGATGAGTTTGCTAACACTTTGTGAATTGTGAATGTGTGTTGGTTGTGGCAATGCAGACGGATTGGTATGTGTATATATAGCTGCAGAAGAAGCAGCTAGAGTCAGCTACCACTCTGATCAACCTGCCAGTGTGCTTTGTTTGATCATGACTTGAGAGATTCAGGAATTCTGGTGAATCGGTCAATCTGCTTGTCTGCCTGTCTGGATCGTCAGGATTGACTTGGAGTTTGAGACCTCTCTGTCACACGAGATACGTTACATGTGTGTGACATTTAATTTTCAGTTCTTGACGTGTCATTGCTGCGTTAGCTGGGCCGGCTACGATCTTAGCAGGACGAGTGAGTACTGAGTGGATGATTAATTTTTGGGGATTCAGTTTCAACTTCGATGGGCTGGAAAAAACGGAAACACCACTTTTGCCGTTTCTGTCACCACTAACGACTAATCTGCATGGTTTTCTCTGTCTCTGCGGCTCAGAATTAGAGTTGGTGTCGTGTGATTTCAAGTGAAATGAGAAGTCAAAAAATATTCTGGGTTGGACGATGTGCATGGGAAGTCGTGATTGGTGACCGGCAATTGCACGGTTTTGGAGGAATAACGCATGAAAGGACGGCGTTAGAAAACGGCACAACAACGTTGACCTTGGGCCTAAACAGTAGTAGTGCGGTTGATTTGGGAAAACGAATCGGTTTGGCCGGCTGCATGGCAAAGTGCATGTGAGTGTGGATGAAAAAAATTCACTGCAAAGTGCAAAAGCCTTGAGAAGTAGGTATATATCGTTAAAAAAAAAGCATCTCTGATTTAACCCATTTTTGTGGGGTTGCACATTGCACTGTGTTATTCATTTCAGATTGAATAAATAAGAAAAAAAGGGCTTAAGTGAATTTCTTTGGTGGTGGACAACATGCACAATTGAATTACTGCACGTGAAGCTCGATAAGAAATATTTAAAGTTTACCACAAAATTTAATTAAAATTTTGAAACTTTGACCGTCAATAACTTCTTAATTGTGTATTTAAAAATATATAAATTGTGTTGATGGTATACAAACTTGTTAGGTGGTGTAATTTACTACATAAATTTATGAAATAATCATTATGGTGCACGGACTTATCTAGTGCTTCTGAACTAAATCTAAAACGATTTATTGTGACTAATTATGTTTCTTCACCTGAGAGGGATAAGGATGTAGTGAGAGATTGGATTTTGTTGCTGTAATTGTGCTTGTAACTTATTTATTTTTAATAAAATCTATTTAACAGTAGGGGCCTCCCCTGCTATGTTCTTGTTTAAAAAAAGTTCGAGTTTGATTAGGATGTCACACGCATAATTGAGGACATGAGACATATCTTAAGTGTAAATAACCTTTATATATATACTTTATATTTATTTTGTTTTTATTCATTATTTGTATCCATTGCATTTTCCTTTTATATGTTTTTTTCTCTGTTTATATACCTTTTTCTCTGTACACTCAACACAACTTATTCAATGCTTGATTTGGTATATGTTTCTTTAAAACAAGTAGGAGCTCTGCTATTTTAATTGATAGAAGGGAAAAAAGCACATAGCATTACTAATCTCATAAGAAAAATGGAAGGCAACAACCAAAAACACGAACCTGCGTTTATTTTACTGAACTACGTACAAAGCCAGAGCCATTTTACTAACTGATCATATACATAATATCCTACTCAGCGTGCAATTTAGTGAAATTAGTTATAACATATTTTTTTCTTTCTTTAGTTTGCATACACTACACAAGTTTTTCACCGAAACGAGCAATTTACAAGTTCACGTATTACCTTCGATTTATATTATAAGTCGCTTTGAATTTTTTTTATAGTTAAATTTTGTTAGGTTTGACTGAAGTTATAGAAAAATATAGTGACATTTTCAACTAAAACAAACATACTAGAAAAGTATATCCAATGTTACATTTAATGAAACTTATTGGTGTCATAGATGTTACTAATTTTGTATAAACTTAGTCAAACATAACAAAATTTGATTAGAAAAAAGTTAAAAGGGCTTATAATATAAAACGGAGAAATTACTAAATTGCACACTAGTCTAATAAAGTTTGTGTACCGACAGTACAATTTATTCTTAAAGGATTCTTATGCGTTGATTTACCTTGAAAAGCTTATTTGAAAATTGATTTACTTATTTTAATATAAAATTGATTATGATAAGCTTATTAAGGTTTATTAAGGCTCTGTTTGCTGGCCATGGTTGGGAACCTTACCCTCCCGCACGGAAAACGAAGCAGTCCATTAGCATATGATTAATTAAGTATTAGCTAAATTTTTTTTTCAAAAATGGATCAATATATTTTTTTAAACAACTTTCGTATAAAAACTTTTTACAAAAATTGCACCGTTTAACCGTTTGAATAGCGTGCGCACGGAAAACGAGGTAAAGTGGTTGGGAACCCTCATGAAAGAACTCAGCCTTAACTTTATCATCGTACTGTTTTATGACTCGAAGCCCAAGGGAGTATTTGTGAAGTCATCTGCTATGATGGGCTTTCTGGCCATGTGAAAATAAAGGAATAAGTTCACTTTGTGACCCTCAAAAGTGATTAAAATCTAATCCGTGACCCTAAACCACAAAACCGGATATCTTGACCCCCAAACTTCTAAAACCGGTGCAATTTGACTCCCTCGGTGGTTTTGGAGGGCGGTTTCACTGACGTGGCGCCACGTGGCGCCTACGTGGTGATATTGACCGAGTCTTCATTCCACGTGGCGTTGACGTGGCAGCGAAATTAAAAAATATGCGTGGGACCCATTAGTCATTCAAAAAAAGAAATGTGGGCCCACTGACATGTGGCCTTCCTTCTTCCTCCCCCCTCTCTCCCTTCTCTCTCTTTCTCTCCCCTTCTTCCCCTTCTGTCGACACGCGGGATGGCAACAAGAGCGAGCAGCGGCGGGCGGCGAGGCCGGAGCTGCGGCGGTGGGCGGGAGGGCGGCGAGATCGAGCGGCGGCGCGCTGCGACGGCGAGGGAGCTGCGCTCGGCGGGAGAGCAAGCGGCGAAGGAAAAGGACCCCCACCCTAGACACCGCCCAGCCTGGAGCTGCGCTCGGCGGCGAGAGCGAGCGGCGGCGACAAGTGTAAGCACACGTTCGGTTTGTTTTTTTTCTTGTTTCTTTGATTCGTAGCCGAAGTTCATAACTGAATTTTCCTTGTTTCAGGACGACGTTTAAGAGGATCCTGAAGGCCAAATCGACCGAGCGATTCGATGGGCTCCCTTACCTGTTCTCGCTGCTGAACTGCCTCATCTGCCTGTGGTATGGACTTCCCTGGGTCGCCAATGGCAGGCTGCTCGTCACCACCGTCAACGGCACCGGAGCGGTGTTCCAGCTCGCCTACATTTGTCTCTTCATCTTCTACGCGGACAGCAAGAAGACGAGCGTAATTCTTCCCATCCTGCACCTAATTTTGTCTTAGAAAAATGTACTTGTAGACTGCAGTACTAGATTGCTACTGTAGTAGCCTAGTGCTGTACATTTTCAGTTTTGTCTGATGGCAATATGCCATCAAGAAAGGAAAAGGATGGTGGAGCTCTGCGCGCTGCCGCCGCCGCTCTCACCGCCGAGCGCAGCTCCAGGCTGGGCGGTGTCTAGGGTGGGGGTCCTTTTCCTTCGCCGCTCGCTCTCGCCACCGAGCGCAGCTCCCTCGCCGTCGCCGCGCGCCGCCGCTCGATCTCGCCGCCCTCCCGCCGCAGCTCCGGCCTCGCTGCCCGTCGCTGCTCGCTCTTGCCGCCATCCCGCGCGTCGGGCGAAGGGGAAGAAGGGGGGAGGAAGAAGGAAGGACTGACATGTGGGCCCCACATGTCGGTGGGCCCACATTTCTTTTTGTGTGAATGACTAATGGGTCCCACGCATATTTATTAATTCCGCTGCCACATCAATGCCACGTGGAATGAAGACTCGGTCAATATCACCACGTAGGCGCCACGTGGCGCCACGTCAGCGAAACCGCCCTCCAAAACCGCCGAGGGAGTCAAATTGCACCGGTTTTAGAAGTTTGAGGGTCGAGATATCCGGTTTTGTGGTTTAGGGTCACGTATTAGATTTTGATCACTTTTGAGGGTTATCAAGTGAACTTATTCCGAAAATAAATGGAATAAGTTCGCTTTTTGTCCCTTATCCTGATATCGAGTTTAAATCTAGTCTCTGAATATTATCGGATATAACACATCCCTCATCTTTCAAAACAGATACAAATATAGTCCTATGATAATATTGAATGTGGTTTTAGGTGATGTGGCACTGACGTGACACAAGAAACAAAATTAAAAAATAAAAAACCATGCAGGATCCACATGTAAGTAAAACAACAATCTTCTTTCCTATCACCCTCTCATTCAATCAGGTGAAGGTGGTAGAGCAAGGAGCAACCTTGGCCCCGACAATGGCTGCGACCTCAATGTCATCGGCGACTCATTCCGGCGGTACGGTTCGCGGAGGGCAATGTTCGCTAGCTACGAGGCGAAGGGGAACGTGGTCACCGACTCACTGTCAACCTCACCTCCTACCAAAGTTTAACGATGTAGGACGAAACCACCTCCAAAACCATCTGAGAAGTCGATTTGCAATGGTTCTAGAAGTTAGGGAACGGGTTATACCCGGTTTTGCACTTGAGGGATGCAATCCAACAGGGACATGACTTGTGGAGGCAAAATAGACTTATTCCTAAAATATTCTCACTGGCTTAGTTTGGAGTGTTAAACTTTTCTCGCAGGCCAAATTATTAAACATTTTACGTGGCCAAGTTTTCACGGGCCACACATGGCCTATTAATGTATACTGGCAGTCTAAACTTCAGCCTTTAAAATTTTCGCATGGCCTATTTACGATAAGAATTTTCACACCTCCATCCTCATATTCCAAACCTCTCTTGCAGGAAAATTTTTCCAAAGACAGGAATCCTCAAATATTCCCAATGAGGCCTTGATTGCAGTTGCATATATCATGCCTTAATTTGCAAACCATGGTTTTTAGCTTTTTGGTCTCAACTTCATAAAAAGCAGCCCTTAATGCTCCCAGATCAACTCCTTTTCCATTTAAACCCACCATAAATCCCCTGCCGGTAACTCCCATTACCGCAATATAATAAATAAAACAAGAACACCACCATTCACTCATCTCCTTCAGTTTCCACATTCTTGACACCCTCTGGCTCACAATCCCATTCAGCCATGCAAGAAGATAACATCAGTAAGAAAGCCAAGCTGCGAAAATCCATACAGCTCTTCCTCTCAAGAAACCTCAAGAAGATCCCACCGATTCACATCCCCAGCTCAGCCATCCCTGCGAAGATCACCAGCAACCGCCTCCTCTCCACCTGCAGGTTCCCCAGAACCCCATCGCTGCACGGCGGCGGCGGTGGCGGCGGCGACCACCGCACCACCGACGACGACGACGGCAGCAACGGCAGAGACCAGGCGGCGACGCTCTCCGACGTCGACCGCTTCCTCTTCGACAACTTCCGGTCCCTCTACATCCACGACGGCGACAACCATCAGCAGCGGCGACAACCACCACCATCTCCGGGGAAATTCACACAGCCAGCAGCGGCAGAGACATCATCATCAAGGTCAGAGTCGGTTGCAGAAGACGCAAGAGGAACAAGCTCGGGTGATGAAGACGACAACAACAGTAGTACGGCCATAATGCTGTTCTCCGTGGATCCTTACACGGACTTCCGGAGATCCATGCAGAACATAATAGAGATGCACCATGGTGAGGAACCTCAGCCGTTGGACTGGGACTTCTTGGAGGAGCTGCTCTTTTATTACCTGCAGCTCAATGAACAAAGTGTGCACAAGTACATTCTGAAGGCGTTCGCCGACCTTACTGCTGGAGCCCATGTCAGCTGCCCAGCCCGTGGGAAACCGCAATGGGCTGATAAGAGTGTCCGGAGTAGGAAACACTATTAGGGCACAAGATTGTAATGTATTTGCTTAAATTTTTTCACTCGAAAGTACTGAGAATAATAATGCACAAAATACAAATCCATATCGTGCGAAGCCATGTAAACTCATGATGTAAGGTACACTGCACATAAAATTAGTTTTACAACTCCCAACATTTTTAAATATGTGATGTCATAACTTTTTAACATCCGTATGAAACAAAAATATAAAAAATATAAGTCATGTTCAAAGTACCTTTAATGATAAATAAATCACAACAAAATATTGATAATTATTTTTTTAATAAAATGAATGGTTAATAATATGTGTAGAAGCCAATAGCGTCAGATTTTTTAAAAAGAGGGTGCGGAATGCTGGTTAAACAGTCAGAAACTCAGAATAACCTGAAACACATCATCTCAACAGAAACCATAAGGTAGGTTGGGAATGATTATTGAATCAATTTCTGCCATAACGAAGTATTCCAAATGTGTATTAAGCTCAGGTTTCCCATAAAAAATATCAAAAGATAATTACATTCAAGTTATTGATTTAGTAATTTACACGGACCTATATATAGAGACGCGTGGGCAATTCCCGTCAATCCACTCTAGTTTAGCTAATAATGCAGTTTCACTCGCGATGAAGAAAATACATGTTTTAGTTAACCTAGTAGGGTACACATACTCCACTATCTGCAACGCACTGGCTGGCATGATACCTAGTGGAATCGGATAATGTATATTAGTTAACAAAACTGCCAGGGCATTAGTCACTTAGAAAACTATGACATCAGTTAACTCTAAAGGCTTTACATTTCTTCTTCAATGCCCCCCCTGTCCCAGATGATGGGAACAAATTCAACAGAACTATTTGAATTGACCATTAAAGCCTCGAGGGCACAATTATGATATGAGAAGCACGGGTTGCATTTTACCACAGAAGTTTCCAGAAATTGATCTGCAAATGCAAACGGTGGTCAGAAACTCAAATAATCCTACCATCCTAATGAAGCTGATCAATAATGAAAGGGGCCATTCAGTACATATGGGAGATAAAAGGAAATCTAGTCAATTTATCTTACAAACATTTGTAGGGCATCAATGCAACGGAAGCTCATCCTATTCCAGGCTTAATAAGTGTGTAAAGATATTCTATCCTACTCTTTCTTGCTCCACATGTTAAAAGAAAAGATATAGTTTGCATGGCCCAGATAAGGAACATATGAACCAAATAAATACAAATTCTTGATATCTGCTGTATTACAGAGTCAACAAAATACCACTGGATAAGTAGCCGATATTAAACAGTCAATAAATAATACCATTGAATAAATAGTACAAAGCTTGAAAATCAGCCCAAATAAAACCTGAAATTTATTCAGGTTGGCCCTGAACCATGAATCAAGGGTGCAGAATCATTCTGAATGTTGGCCTAATGACATCTAAGCATACACAGTGTAACAAAATACTGCCTCCGGTTCATATTATAACTCGTTTTGACTTTTTTTTTCTAGTCAAACTTCTTTAAGTTTACCAAGTTTATAGAAAAATATAGTAGTATTTTCAACATAAAACAAACATACTATCAGAATATATTAAATATTAGTTTTAATGAAACAAATTTGGTATTGTAGATGTTGCTAAATTTTTCTATAAACATGGTCAAGCTTAAAAATTTTTTACTAGTAAAAAAGTTAAAGCGACTTATAATATGAAACGGAGGGAGTATGTATAAAAGACCAGTAATTATGGACAACCCCAAAAACATTCGAGGTGTTTTTGCATTTGGAAGGTCAAAGAATCTTTTGCTGAAGCTTAATGTTCTCACAATATCCACTTCTCCTTGGAAGTCAAAAACAATATCACATTCAAAAACACAATGATGTGCACATCACAGTGTTTTCAAGTCATCCGATTAGTCGCGACTAATCACGATTAGCCGTCCTTATCTCTACCCTGACCTCAATCAGGAACTTCAAAGCAATTAGTTCAACCAGAAAACTTATCGTCCGACTAATCACGACTAGTCACGATTAGTCGATCAAATTAGTCGTGGACGACTAGTCTGTTAGTGCTAAAAATGTGTTGGACTTTACACTTCAGTGGCAGGCCTTTTGCCCAGCCCAAGAAGGCATGTACCCCTCATCTAACCCTAACCAGCCATCTAGATCTAGTCACGAGAGACGGGAGAAAAGATGAAGGACTTATTGCAACTAGGATAGGTAAATGATTTAACTTTAAGACCTTAAGTCAAGTGTGAACTGTAAACTCTGAAAATCTGATTATCCTTAATATTTATAAGCATCTATACATTATCCTGGGTACCCCTAGCCTATAGTCACCGACTAATCTACGACTAGTCACGACTAATTGCGATTAGTCGACTAGTCGGAGCCCTTACGACTAGTCCCGACTAGACAACTTGGAATCACTGGCACCTCAATAATGATATAAGAACATTCCGTTGACAAATTATGAAATAATTCCATATAGATGATAATTAGTAGTGACATCATCATGTAATAAAAATATACTCCATGTATAGAAACTTTAAACAGTGAGGAATTATTAGGCATAGTATAGCTTAATGTTCATGTAATTAGAATGAGAGTGTTACCTTTAAATAGTGCAGCAAATCATGTATTTGGCACAGTATAGCTTTGAACAAGCTGCTCATATAATGAAAGATGATTCTTAGGAACAAAAACCCTAAACCTGTACGCACAAAACCATAAATCAGGCATAGTAAAGGTGTGAGTTTACTTTCAGCTAGTAGAGAAACAGATGTAGGTTTACCCTTCAAGAAGTGGGAGTCGCTCTGGAGACGAAAACAGTTTTGCTATTGCATCAAGTGAGTCCTTTATGTGCATGGTTTTCAATTTTAAGGCCTTCATATATTCAACAAAATCTCTGTACTCTGCAGTACTGAGCTTTTCTCGAGCCTAATAAAAATATCCCTATTAAATTATTACAATAATCTCATTCACGCAACTAAAAGATGAACATATGCAATGTAGCACTTATTCTGCAAAACCTCAAGAACAAAATCAAATTACAGGGGATAAGAGCATACCAGCTTCAAGAAGGCTGGCCCTGCATTAGATTCCTGGCCTCCAGATTTCTCATGAATAGCCCCACTGTTTCCAGGTGCATGTGTAATATTACTCTTCTTTGATGAAGCTGTAGATTGCTCACCCAAGCACCCAGCCAAAGCTCTTGACTCAACATTATGTTGCAATTTTGGAGATCCATCATCAAAACAAACATCTTTGGATCCAACCATTACTTTAGCCTTTTTAGGTCCTAAGGACTTAAATCTATATCCTGCAAGATGACTTGTTGCCACATCAGCAGCCAAATCAATAACCTGAGCATCCGTAGACAGTTTGTCTCCTGAGTATAAGAGCTGCGAAGTAGATGAACAGCCATGTTTCATAGAAAGGGTAGAGCGATTGGCAGGAGTGATCTGGGCAAACTTGATATAGTTACTTCTTTTGGTGGTTGGATTCACAGATAATGCAGTTCTCTGGTTCTCATTTGCTGTGGTGACAGCCTAGCAGAAGAAAGAATACGACCTATAAGTACCAGAAGCATCAAACTGAATACTGATCATCTATGTGAGTGCAACAAAATTACCAAAGCAGATATAGTCTCCTGAGGTTTATGTTTGTCTGCAAGCAGTACAATATTATCTGCATGTAACAGCATTTTCACAAAAATGTAAATCATCAAGAGAATAGCAGATCAGCAGAAACACAATATAGTAATTAAATTTGGCAGCCACAGCAACCGGAGCTGCAAGAAATGTCTGGTTGTCCAGCCAATGGTTGCACTGAACAATTAAAAAATGTTCAGGGCTTCAGGACAGCAACACATGTTGCAGAATTATATTCAGCACTCGACAGCTAGGTGAAATAGGTAATTTAAAGAGGATTTAACATTCAGGAGCTGGATCTTGGCCCCATACTCTATAAATATCTCTCAAGACTTAATAGTACAAAAAAAAATTGAAGATTTTTCTATTGCTACAAGAAAGGTGTTGATTTTACTGCCCCAATGCAGCACATGACTTGTAATGTACAAATCCATATAGAAAAGAAAAGAACATATGGGCTTCAAGCATCAGAAACTAGAAAATGTACTGGTGTGCACAAAATTTGAGCCAATTTTAATGCGAAGGTGCACGAGCTTTTTTTTTTTATCTTCTAGATTTGATAGTTACAGGCTGAATTCTGACATACAAATATGGAATGCAAGCTAAAGTTAATGGGGTACTTAAATAGTATAGAACTTTATTGATGTGCTCTGGAGGAAAACTTCCCAGCAATTTACATACTGTTAATTAGATAATTGCAAACAAAAGAATCAACACAAATAATCAATACAAATGCACCAGCAAATCCTATCTTACTATAAAGTTACAACCCACTAACTCCTAAAGCTTAACATGCAAAGATGCCACGTCATCATCCACTAACAATCAATACATTTAATATCATGCAAACATGCTATACTATCTATAATTTAAAATTTATTACATTTTAGAGCTTTTAAAATGAAAGCATGTTAAATCATCATCCCACATAATACACATAATATTTCAATATATATCTTCATTATTTTTTATAATATTTTATGTACCTATGTAGTTCATCCTCACTTGGTTAATGCTATTTCTCTCTTCTCTAATTAAGCCATATCACATCAATTGTTTTTAGTGCTTATGTAAGTTTATGTTTTTTAGCTATCTTACACATTATTTTTTACTTATTGTTATCATATTGAACTCCCGCAGCAACGCGCGGGGTTTCACCTAGTAATTAAGATAACAAGACCCATATCCACAGGAAGTTCCAAACCATCAACCAAAACAAGCAACCAACATATTTTTCAGCAGATAGTGTTCGCCATATGAGTGGGTAATCACACCAGGTCCTTAAACTTATGTGCGGGGATCCTCTGATCTAATTGACAGTTGCAGATTTATATTCAAGAAGTCAATCCAGAGGTTACTGCAATAACTCATTATAAAAGGGCTTCATCTGAAGAGTAGGAAAGGGGTTCTCACCATTAAAATCTGTCTCATTTGGCTTTGAAGAATCAATAGACACTTTATCTCGGAAAAATCTTGTTAACCCTTGGACTACTTCCCCATACTTTTTATAGCACTGCAGGGGAAAATATAAGTATAGTAAAGATGACTTTGACGAGCACTGAAGAATGAAATCAAAAACCTACTTTTATGTAAGGTCGCAGCCAATATGACATCTGAGATTGATAATTTTGCCAAACAAACCTGTAAGCCATATGAGATGTCAAGAAGCTTTTTTTATTCAAAAGGCCGAGATTCAGAAAAATAATGACTTGTAGCTTTTCTACCCACATGATGTTTGACATCAACAAGCCACTGGAGGTAACCACGTGATCCTTAAAATCTTATATGTTAGGTTGATATAGCACAAAAGCGCAAAGCGTATCTTGAGATTTTCAAAGTGACTTTCTTCTTAAGTGCTTCGATGAAATACGATATGGAATGCAAATACAGAGAGATTGACTAAGAAAGGCTAAATCAGCTCACATGTAGAACAGAAGACATAAATGTTAAAAGCATTCATTCTGCAGCTAGTCCAGTTGAAGCAGAAAACTAATGAT